ACCCTGCCAACAATTCCCATCAAGGTCACAGCCCTGTTCCAAAATTCCGAAAACAAACTCAGCGAGCTTGTCTTTTTGAAATTAGCTTTAAAATTATTTTGTATACTTTTGTAAAAGCGCCGATCAACAATGCATTTGAATCAGAAGTAAGTTGAAGAAACAACAATGGTGATAGTTAAATAAACGATCTGGAGCAAACGTTTTATTCCCACGCGGCATCTATCAAGTAGCAATTAATCACTGGACAAACGTTTCCTGGCAGATTTCTTAATTCTATGAACAGGTAGTCGTTGAAGTTTTTCGGTATCTAAAGATCCCTACAGTACTCTACAAATAAATTTAATGAATACAAATGAACAACGTCAATGAAATGTAACAACGAGCCGTTACCGTATTTTATAACATGATCTTTCTGGTAACTACATTCCAGATCCTGGGGACAGAATGGAAATCAGTCAACGTCGCCCAAAACACGTCATTTCGGATCCTCCCGATCCATTAACGGTGCTTTTAGGTACCTTAAGCACCGGTCATCGTTCTCGTCGAACCCGTCACTTGCGACGAAGGGCTCGACGAGTAAATGAACCCACAGACACAGCCCACTGAGTTTCTCGCTGGATCTTCTCAGTGGGTCGCGTTTCCGATCCGGCGGTAGATTCTGCGAAGCACGGCTCTTGCTAGGTTCGTGTTAGCAACGTCATCAGGTTTGAGCCCCGTGAGCTCACCTACTAGTTAAGGTTACGCCTTACGGTTAGCCTCTCAAGGCTATCAGCATAGGCAGGAGAAAAAAAAATTCGAATATTTTGTTGAATTTTTACATAGCTCGTTTTTGTGTGATATTCTAGAACCGGCAACGTTACATCAGTTTGAAAACTTGCTTTTCATTCAGCGCTGACATCGTATTCCATATTGTCTTATTACATCCATTCGACGCCTACAGAGGAACTTTTATGGCACAATCACATTCGATTGTTACCTAATACAATACACAATTCCTTTAGGTGCTTACGTATGACGTTCCTCCTGATGGATTAGTCAATACGGATTGAATAAAAATGTATGAACTTTATCTGAATAGGTCGAATATTGGCATTAAAATTTTTGAGTCTAAAATTATCATTTATTTAGATTCCGCGTGTTTTCAATGCAGTGTATTTTAGGAAAACTCCCGAGCAAAGATTGACAGTGGTACTCATTCTTGACCCATTAACAGTAACAATTAGCTGATTTGTTGATTTCGTGCGGACATTAAGGAGATAATTTTATATTATTGGGATAACCCAATACTATAAAATTATCTCCTTAATGTCCTTATTATAAAATTATCTCCTTAATGTAACATAAGTGCTACTTACATTCACTAATTGGACAAGTTTCAATGTTTCAACGAATTTGGCAATATAATATGGTTTTGCCATTGCGTTACTGATAAACGTTTAGTCATCATCATTCATCATTCATCCATATCCTGCCCTTCTCCCAGTCACCTGAGGTCGGCACAACATGTTTTCTACTTCCATACTCTTCCATCATATACCATTTCTTCGCTCACTCCCCTCTTACCCATATCGTCTTTCACGCAATCCATCCATTTCTTCTTAGGTCTACCTCTTCCTCTATATCCTTCCACATTCATAGTTAACATTCTCTTACCAGCCTCATTTTCATTTCGTCTCATCACATGTCCTTACCATCTCAAACGCGGACTTCTCAGCTTCTCTGTCACAGTTGCCACTTTCAGATTTCCTCTAACATATTCATTCCGTATTCTATCCATTCTCGTTACTCCACACATCCATCGCAACATTGCTGCTGCTTGCAATCGCCTACGTTTAATAACATTGATAAACATTTAATAATATTTAATAAAAGTAAGTTCATTGTAAGCATGACAACAAAATAGTCGTATGAAATATTAAGATTATTGCACAACATTAAATATGTGCATAGATTTGATTTGAACCTATAGGAATTCGATGTCACAACATAATAATGCGTTCATTACATTCATTGCATTATGTCTGTAAAATGATTACACGCCACTTTAAGACATGAATATATAATATTCTATTTGATTAATGTTATTTTACTGTTTAAGAAAAGGTTTTTGTGAAATAGCATTATTCCTTGTGTGAATTAACTTTAACAGCTTCTGCTAATTCATACCAAGCGTATGACTTTTCGATTGAGCAAAATGCTTATTTTAATATTATACAAAAGCCACTAAATGAAATTGAGTCGAAATTTTAGGATTACTTTTTGTTTATGTATTATATTTCAAGGAGGTAAATTAAAAAAATTGCCTCGGGCAGTAAAATGTATTTGTTGAATGACAGCGCTAACCGGATGCGGTTTATAAGGTTGAAATTTATACTCGATTGCTTTACCGGTATTTTTGGAAAATTTAAATTAAGATTTGATGAGACCTTTAAGTATGGTCTCTTCTGTGAGATTTGTTGTGAAAATTTTATTTGATTCTTTAGAGAGCGATAACCTTTTTTTTATTGCTTAGTTGGGTGGACGAGCTCACAGCCCACCTGGTGTTAAGTGGTTACTGGAGCTCATAGACATCTACAAACGTAAATGCGCCACCCACCTTGAGATATAAGTTCTAAGGTCTCAAGTATAGTTACAACGTCTGCCAAACCATTCAAACCGAAACGCATTACTGCTTCACGGTAGAAATAGGCAGGGTGGTGGTACCTAACCGCGCGAACTCACAAGAGGTCCTACCACCACCTTTTGTGCTGTGATAGCTAGCCACCCTCTACACGCTTATGTGATTAAATTTCAAATCACCTCGCAACTAATTTCAACAACAAGAATTAATTAGGACATTTAAAAAAACACAGTTAGTTCTTATTATAATTTTTTTTTAAATCAATTTTATGATCTCTAAGTGTTGTTTTTGGTTGAGATTTATACGTTTCAAATCAATTTAATCAGAACTGTTATTTAAATATTGACCACGTATTCGCTAAATACAATATATAAAACTTAAAAACATTTGTTAACTCATTGCTCCAATCAATACTTTAGCTTTTAATAAACATGTTGCATTTTATCTTCAAACTATAAAAAATTCAGAGGATTGCAATTATAATAGTCTGTCTGGTTTTAACATAATATGTGTAATCAGAATGTTCGGGTGTGTAATCTCAAGCACCACCTGGTCAAAACGACCATAATCCAATTGATAGTGTTATTCTTTTGACGCAGACTATACAAAAAACCCTGTGCTTAAACTTTTTAAAAATGCTTCTAAAAAAAAACCAGTTGTAGCTAGTATAGTGTAGGTATCGTGAAATATCATCGATCATCTACTTATTCCTATCGCGATTATATAGGGATTTGAATGGTGAAACAGTCGATTTTATAATGCAACTGAGCTTCGACATTTCTTTTTTTTGGGCGACTTTTCTATTTCCTAAGTGATTCCCGCGCCGAGGGGGAACATTTTTATATGGAACTGGTATTCCTTATTACCGATCTGAGTTGCGCGGTGCAAATAATGTTGCTTACTCGCTACGGTAAGTCACATTGCATCAGGTGAGTCGGGAAATTCCTGTGTTGGATAGGCTCTTATTTCAATAGGTACATACTCGTATATACTAAAATGGCAACACTCTAAATGTATTTTTAGTTGTTTTCATCAACTTGCTTTCTTTTATGTCTTTGTAGTGTGCAGCTCGCCTAACCTTATATTTGTAACTGCACTGTCGACTTGAACAGTTCTCTTTTATTTCACCTACAACACTCCAATACATCTTTCTTCTTAATTGTTTCACTCTTGTCACAGTGGTTGTGGCATTACACGGCTTTTGAGGGTACCCCAGGGAAATCTGTACAAATTTGACGCGTCTTACGACTCATATGTCTATTTTCGTAATTTTGGATTTCAAATTGGCTTCGTGTTGAGAACTGGAATATTTGAAAGTTTGAACGTAACTCAGGATCAAATGAAATTAGAAAAAAAGGCGGATAAATAAATTAGATGATACGTTTTTTACCATTTACTTAATTGGTAACTTTTGAATTTAACTTGAATTTTTGTGCAAAGGTAATAAGAGAGTGGAGGTTGAAATCTAAACTAAGAAATAAGATCTTTTATGTCTATGACTCGCGAATTCCGACGAAAGCACAAAATGGTGTTATTTTCACCTAACACGAAGTTTCAATGTTGAATGCCGCATGCACTTGGTTTTGGACATTAAAAATGTTTTTGAGGCCATCGACTTCCAATATCGAATTAAGCATATCCGATCCTCAATACGAGTTTTAACGCTACCCTAAAAGTCAATTAATATATCTGCGATCCGCGAAAACAGCAGAGAACGTTATTATATACCATAACGATTAATTTAACGAAGTGCGCTCGCCATAAAACAAGTCTGTAGGTAATGAGTGGCTCATTTTATCGTAAAAATAATTAAGAACATCCATGTTTGGTAATAAAATTCATAATTGAAAAAGGAAAAAAAAAAGGTTTTCAATCATAAAGTGTTTTAGTGTCTACAATCCAGTCAATTAGAACCGACTGCCATTTTGTGTCTCAAATACTTACTCCCTTCTTTTACAGTTGCAATAATATGTTCTCGAGAGCTTCAAGGCCTAAATTGAAAGTTGTATTAATTTTAAATAATTACCTACGTTAAATTTACCATTAAAATTTATTTTATACTTTAAGCAACTTAACTTTTTGTTATTATATCCATAAATGCACAATTTTGGGCAATCGTTATTCGTAGTGTTTTTGAAATGGTTCAAATGTTTATTGCACCATTATTCATGTGTTCTGTCTGGGTTTTGTTATTTTGATACCACAAAACTTCAAGGCGGAAGAACGCATTTACATTTTGGCGTCTTTTGCTCCCCAGAAACCAATTGACACCAGGTAGGACGTGAACTCATCTGCTTTTCTGCTGCAGTAAAAAAACTGGACATAAATGTCTCAAAATAGCAGAAACGTTCTTTAGGACCTTAAACACCCGAAGACTTACCTTTCGACAAGAGGCAGCACGTTATCTAGGAATTCAAAGCCAGCGTGCGTCGTGTATGTGATGCTTTCGTGACACATGATTGTTCCATGATCAGCTCGGATGTAGTTCTTTAAAACCCAAAATTCTCCGCGCTGCACCGTTTGGGGAAGGAAGTCCTTTTCTGTGCACGCCAGTAAGCTCCGAAGTCGTGTTAGTGTGGTGTCCGACAGCCCGTTCTCATCGACTATGTCTAACATTTCATTTATATCAACATCTGGAGGCGCTGCACTTATCTTTTTTTCTAGATCCGTGGCGGATACTGTACTAGATGCGGTTTTGTTTGTTGTCGGCATCGTCGAGGTCGACTTCTGGGAAGTGGATTCCTCGAAATCCCTGATCATAGGCTCTATAAGTCTATCTGTGTCGTTTCGTGTGATTTCACGTTTGAGATACTGGAGTTCCGCGTTCCTCTCGGAGCCATCGCCCGTCACCGGGACCCACTCGACCATCGGAGAAGTGTTTGCGGACAGATGCATCGCCGCATATAGCATCACAGCGATGTTAATTACGATGCTCACTCTAAATATAAAATTTCGTCGATTCGCCACCATGATTGCAATGATTAGGCACTTTTATAGAGGAAAACAACAACGTTTCGCTATAACGTCCTCCGACGTCCTCTAGGACGCAGTTTCCTATAGGGTTCTGTTCGTGTGAGCATCACAATTTATTCTGTCATCAGCAGGTGTTCGGAGGTGGGCGCCGTGCTGGCGCCGCGATACTATACGCCTCCTGAAACAAATAACAAAATTTCAAATATTAATTTAACTTAATTTTGAGGTAACTTCTTTTTTTTTTGAGGAGGAGGTTTTTACTGGTGGTAGGACCTCTTGTGAGTCCGCACGGGTAGGTACCACCGTTAAGCAGTAATGCGTTTCGGTTTGAACGGTGGGGCAGCCGTTGTAACTATACTTGAGACCTTCGAACTTATTTCTCAAGGTGGATGGCGCATTTACGTTGTAGATGTCTATGCGCTTCAGTAACCACTTAGCACCATGTTGGCTGTGAGCTCGTCCATCCACCTAAGCAATAAAAAAAGAAAGAAAAGATAAGCTAATTATAATACTGTTTGTAATAGGTATTGGAAATAGTGTTTTGTGCACGCATTCGCGTATTCTCAATAACACTACAGTTAATCTTGCGAAATTGGTAATTCAGTAAATGCGTGCCATAAAACAGTAATCAAAGGTTTAGTTACTCATTTGTCTTATCGTTATTCTTGTCTATGAAACCATAAAATGAACTTCATTTACCGGGAGCAGTACTTGTGTAATTTTAGATGGTTGAATTATGTCGGCAAGTCGGAATATGCTGCAGTTTCATCATTGCAATTTTTAACGACTTCCTGAACCGTTATGTCTTATGAGCAAAAATTCAATAAGGAACCATTTCTTTAGTGTGGATATAAAATATGTATTCATTTTAATTGAATATGCAATTTCGAAAAGGGCACATGTCGCATATTTTGTCAAATACGTTTTTTCATATATATGTAGTTTTGAGGCTTACCTACACTCATTTTATAATAATTCCAGTAATTCTCAATTGCTAATTAGCACTCAAATATATCTCAAAAGCTAATATTTTAAATTTTACACTGCTTTATAAAATAATCAGTTTTTTCATTTCCTGAACATTTTACATTTTCAGAGAGGTGCCCTTTTCGAAATTGCATATTCAATTGTAAATTTTATCGAAAATTTCAATTTGGTTAATGGGCTGAAGAAAACAACTGCTTGGAAAATATTATTTATTTAAATATTTCTAATGTTAATATAGAATGTTCGTTTTGTTGTTGCGGGTTCAATTCTATATTTCGGTATGTTAAAATAATAAAAAATACACCGCACGAAAATGATATTGATATATGTATTTAGATCGGTGAAGCGGTCGTTTGCTGTTTCGTGACGCTAACATTTTATCATGTGAATGTTACGATGATGCAATGTTTACTAAAACAAGCCGTTACTTCCTCATCGTCTTCTTAGATGTTAATTTGTTACGGCAATGAAGAAATTTATTGCCGTGAAGATGTGTTTCCGGTGTTCACTATTAATTTATAAATGTTCACCTGTTATATAAACTCGTCCATTTGGTTTTCTGTATGACAAAACGTTGCAATATGTTTGAATACGTTCCAATGATTTTTAATTTAATTTAATTAATAAAGATTGTTTGATAAGCCTAAAATTAGCAGTTTACGTTGAATATTCATGTTTAACATTAATATATATATGAGATTAGGCTACACATGAGTGACATCAACTAGTTAACTGACAACAAAAACAGTCTGAAATTATTTTACTAAAGGAAACTTTAGGATCGAATGGAACAACCAATATCTTTATCTTTAGATCGAAATGCTGCTGTGATGCAGTTTTTTTTTATTGCCTAGGTATGTGGACGAGCTCACAGCCTACCTGGTGTTAAGTGGTTACTGGAACCCATAGACATCTACAACGTCAATGCGCCACACACCTTGAGATATAAGTTCCAAGGTCTCAGTATAGTTACGACGGCTGCCCCACCCTTCAAACCGAAACGCATTACTGCTTCACGGCAGAAATAGGTGGGGTGGTGGTACCTACCCGTGCGGACTCACAAGAGGTCATATACCACCAGTAATAATATATAATAATAAGTTACAGGCACAGGTTGGCTCCGCATATGATTTTACATCACAATTGAACAATATTTACGAAAGAAGTAAAGGAAGTCAGGTGGACAAGTGAAGTCGCTTCACTAACGAAGGTGATGATAAGTGGCACGAAAAAATTGGCATCGGTTTACGATTAAAAACCGAACAAACCATCATTACCTCTGGCCACGTCATTTTCCGTCAATCAGGTATATATTGAAACAGGTTTGGAGCCGTCGAACTATTTAGAAATATCAAATACGTAAATGTGAAAATGCTAAAATTCAATCTTTTGGGATGTTATTTATTCACGTTTAATATTAATCTGTATCTTCATTATGTTTAGAATTGTAAGTGTGTCACATAAATAAACATATTTTTTTTCCTAATCTCTTAAATCGACCTTCGTTATTTATGAAATACATAGAACCATTTCAGTTGTGAAGTCGCGTACGGAATTTCACGTGTAATTAAAAAAAGAAAACATTTAAGTTCGTATTGTTGTTTGACAATGAATGTTCTCTATATTTTTACCAATAATTTGAGGGTTACTCAAAATCGAAGATACTGGTGTTACGCAGCTGATTAGGATGGTATAAAATTTGATAAGCTCACCAATAATCCCGCCAATGGAATAACGCATTACGACCCCGATAGAGAGACCCCAAAGATATGTATTATTAATGTAAAAGACAAATTAACTAAGTAACAGAGCGAAATTGATGATATAGTACATATATTGGAAAAATCCAATATTAACAGTCTACAAATATACAAATCAACCAGTAATTGCCACGCTAAAATTATAAATACTGACACAGGTTTTAACTCTTTATAACAGTCCGCCGTGTCCTGTGAAGATTAAAATATGAAGATAAATAGTGAAGCTGATATAGAAACTGTCATTAGCTAATATCACTTCGCTGGCCTTGGCTGCGGATAGGCCGATGTCACAGAATGGTAAACCGCAGCTCCCTCGTATAACAGATAATATGTCCGTATTATTTATTTCTATACGCTCGCTCCGATATTTGCTTGATATCGTGTTGATTTTATTCACTTTAGCAGTTCAACGAAAGTATGTAATGAATTATCGTGCCAAAAAATAATAATTTCAAAGTTTTCGAAATTCGAATTTCGTTTAAAATTGCGTAACCGTTAAATCGAGACAGCGATTCGAAAGAAGAAAAAAAAACCCAGATACTATATTATTATGTTTTCTGTATTACAAAAAGTTTTTGTTAATGGCAAGGTTATTAATATGCACATAACAATCTACTCACTTAAGGGCCTTTAAATAAAATTGGTAATAAAAAGTCTTTGCAATTGTCGTGTTCGTTACTCCCTATTTAATACTCTTCATACATTAATATTTATGTTTTATCTGCTCGTTATAAACTGGAGTCTATTTATGACCGGTCCTTTTTCTATAGGTAAACGGTACTGCGCTAGACGACGGCTGGCTGTGGGAGCGCGCATTGAGCACATTCCTGATTCCTACAATATTCATAAAAACTACGTTAGGATTAGCACGACAGTTATTTAAATTACGACGCCAGGCATAAACCTAGCTTGGTGTTTCTGCCAATACTCGGAATAACGTTACGAGTTCGACCTATCCGGTCATACATTGTCGCGAGCCGTTCAGCACAATGGCTCGTAAGTCCTCATGGCAGCTAGAATTGGCCTACAGTGAATTCAAGTATATATATTCAGTTTTCTCAGGATTTGCCGCATTAGAAGCATTTCATGGTTCGAGCTCAGTCAATCAATCAATAAAAAAAAAATTTATTAACACTAGCTGACCCGGCAGACTTCGTAGTGCCTCAATCGATAAATAAAAGACGTAAAAGGAATCCGTCCGACGGGGGACACATCAAAGGAAAAACAATTTTTTTTTTAATGCCGAGCATATTCATATTTATTTACCTTTTAAACCTTCTCTGGACTTCCAGAAATAATTCAAGACCAAAATTAGCCAAATCGGTCCAGCCGTTCTCAAGTTTTAGCGAAACTAACGAATAGCAATTCATTTTTATATATAGAGATAGATAAATGAAAGTACATACTTGTTGTACGTCAAAAATAACACTAGCCTCCGTTCTGAGAAGAACTGGCAAGAAACTCAGCGGCCATGTCTTTTTTTTATTTTAATTTTTTTTTTATATTCAATAAATTTTTTTATCTATTATTTAGTATATCTATGTAATATATGATGTCCATAATAGGATTTTAATGCCGCCATAATCTGTTGAAATAAAATCATACTCAATTTTAACAACAATGTTTGAGATTGACCAGTCGTCTCTCTCGACATTAAACAAAGTTTTAGTATCAAATATTATGACTTGAATTATTATTGTATAGGATAGGTAGTTTATATACAGATATATTTTTAATTGCAGTCAGCCATCTACGTCATATGTTATTAATTGCAGTATTAGTCAATGCACTTAAACCATAACGTGGATAGCTGTAAGTGAATATCTATCATTGCAAATGCTATTTTTAAATGTTTATAAAAAATTTATATTTTTAATTTCTCTACGAAATTCGCAAAGAATAACTTTAAGATTTTTGTAGTAAATTAAAAGTAAATTGCTGAAATATCTAGCAATAACTTCATCACTCAATCAGGTGTTTTATTTTTTTAATCGCGTACGTGTAGATTTATTTTTCATTACAATTGTGTAATTGTAAGATGAATTTGACGATCTTTTATTAATAATGGTGTTCGTTAAATTGTTTTAGAAATGAGATAGATGTGGCTACTCAATCATGGAATATTAAAAGATTGAAGTGTCAGTGAATTTCTGTCAATATTTTCCTTCTTTACACCCGTTCTATCGGTCGTGCTTATACTAATAATTATAAGCTATTTACTGTAGGCAGCGACTTGGCTCTGCCCCTTGGAATTGCTGAAGTCCATGGGCGACGGTAGCCACTCACCATCAGGTGGGCCGTATGCTCGTCTACCTGCAAGGGCTATAAAAAAAAAGCCCGCCATCAATTAACAAACCGGCGTTTATATTATGTGGCTTTAGAATACAACACTTTATTTACCTGACAGACCTTGGAGGGCAATATATTTACG